CCGCCGCTGAACCTCTGGCCTGTACCCCAGTTCTGTATGAACAAATAAATAAATCTTTAAAAAAAAAAAAAGTTCTCTCAACCTTGATCCCAACTTTGTCCCGGGGGTGCCTTGGTGGTCTTCCCTCGGGCTTAGGGGCCATTCAACACCACCCACGTATCTGCCAGCCCCTAGGGGGGACCTTTCTTAGCTTTTCTGCCTGCTGGTGGGGGCGAAATTGAGTTGGTGTTGCAGGGTGGGGGCAGCAGGAGCAGCTGCGATTCAAGGCAGCTGGTAGGGGGGAGACCCCAGATTGCCAGTACAGGGCCCTAGCTCTGCCAGTCGCCCCAACTTCCCAGTGCAGCAATTTCTGTTTCTATTTTAAACAGTTTGGGTTGGTTGCTTCCCCTGCCTTCCTGCTGGGTGTTTATAGGGAGGAAAATAATTGGTAATATTTGCACAGATGTGCTGATACCGCAGCTCAACGCGGGCACCTTTACCCAGGGGATCCTCCCTGCCCCCAGCCTCTCTCTGCTAGCCTGAGGAGTTAACCTGAGGGGGGGTTGCTGCAAACCCCCCATGCGTCCCAGGAAGCTCAGGTGGTGAGACACAGGCAGAGCTCCCACCTGCTCCCCGAAGCAGGAGCCCTATAGTGCCGCAGGCCTGCCCGGAGGCAGGCCTCAGCCAGCAGGAGGGGCCAGGCGCTGTTGCTGGGACTGGTCTGCAGGAGGCTGGGATGGCAGGATGGGCCCTTCCTGGGTGGCTGCTGGGGAGAGAATGCCCTAGAGACACGGTTTCTAATTCCATTTTCTTCGCAGATCCTGAATTGGCAGCTGGGGGGTAGCGGATGGGGGTGAAGGAAAGGAGGGGGGTAGGTAGCAGGAACAGGGTTGCATGTAGGAAATCATTTGCTTCTTCTCCCAGATCTCAAGGCCCAGAGCAGTTTCTGGAGCCTGGGGAGGAAGCGGGAATAGCTGGGGCTGAGGGGCAGGCTGCCTGGCCCACGTGTGTGGCGCTCACTCCCGACGCTGGGCTTCGGAGTCCTGCAGGTGCTAAGGTGACAGTGCAGAGTGGGCAGGGCTCGGGGAGACTTCCAGCCCATGTCTCCTCCTCCAGCATGCGCAGCATGTGTGGGGTGCACGTGTGAGTGTGTACAGGCCGCATTCACACATGGGTGGGCGCTACCAGGGGTGAGCACAGGGCAGTTGTGTGTCCACATCTGTACGCATGTTGGTGCACATGTGTGCGTGCAAGTTCTACATAGATGTGCACATGGGTGTGTCTTGGTTTGGGTTCCCCGGACCCAAAGACACTAAGACAAATATTCCATTACTGGTATATGACACCTGGAAACACGGTAGGTGAAAAAGGAAGAAGATGGGGGTAGCCATCCTTTTAAGCACATTGCTGCTATGGGCCAGGGGCGCTCACTTGTTGGGGAATCTGGAAGCCAGTGTAGAACACAGTAACATTCTCCCAACCAGAGCCAGGACCCTCGGGGTATTTGTCCTCCAGCTCCCATTTGTCATTGGCTGGAGGCTGCTCACAGGGTTGTTCGCTCTCAGACACTAGCTTGTTCTGTGGGTCCAGGGGAGGGTGGCCAGGGATCAGCCATGGGTGAGTAGGGGATCTAGGTGCCTTCCGGAGTCTACCCCGGAGACCTTGGCAATAGATGGGCTCAGCCCTCCAGCATCTGCAGATGCTGTCAGCAAACAGCAAACAGTACAGGTCTCCTTTGGGAGACTGCACAAAGCCCCTTCACCTGAGATCACACCTCTTCTGAGTGATTTGCAGCCAATGACTGATTGATGAGGGTATAAAACCTGGTCCCTGTATCCCAACTTAGGTCAGCTCTGAAGGGCATTCTGGCTCCAGACTCCCCAGAGATTGGCCCAGGCTCAGTCAGGCCTGCATCAGAGCTTGACCTCCACCCCACCCCATCCCCATCTCCAGCCCAAATCTCTTTCCTCCTCAAATGTTATGCTGAATGTGGCCCCTCACAAACATCCTGTGAGTCTCTGTCTTGGGGCGCCCAGGTCACATAGCATGTATGTGCACAGGTATAGCTTTGCCTTGCACATAGCAACATATGAGCACCCCCTATCACCCCCAACTCTGAGCTCTCTGTAACAGCGACTAGAGGCCGGGCTGGCATTCCTCTGCCAGGCCCTAGGACCTAGAGGAAACTGGGGATTTAGTGCTGTGGCTGGAGCCTGAGGCAGACAGAGATGGCTCCTCCCTAGACCTTTCAGGAGCAGCTCCCAGAGGGGGCTAGGAGAGACTCAATAAGGAGCATCAGGGAAGTGGGGTTCTTCTGTGCCCCCCACTCTCTGCATTAACCCTTCATGGCCCCAAGCAGCTTTGTGGGGCCAGGGACCTTGGCTCACATGCCTTCCTCCTCCTCACTTATGAGGCTTTTCATCCTAGAAGGGAGCTTTCTCCAGACATGGGTTTTACATGAGGCAAATGGATGGCATCCCCCCTACACCCCGGCCACACCCCTCTTCCCCCCCAAGCAGAGGCATCCTGGGATGAGGTAGATACGCTGGTCACCCCTCCTCTTAAGGGTTCATCTTCTCAAGAAGGCTGCTGGAGGCCAGCTAGACCTGGGGATGGAGGTCCGTCCTGGAGAAGAATGGAACAAAGGTGGAAGCAGGCAAGGACAGAAAGAGGCCTGGAGGGCACCGGATGTTACAGAAATGTTTATTACAAGGATAAATATGTACAATAATGCTGCTGATCCTGGGTCTGTGGGGCTGCAAGGGATGCAGGGATTGGGGGGTTAGGCCATGGCCTGGGGTGGAGGAGGATGTGAGAGAAGGGGGGTCAGGGGTGGATTCACAGTCCAGGGCTCTGGAGGGGGTCTGGGAATGACCAGATCCCCCAAATCATGCACAAGTGGGTCCTATAACTTGAGCCTAGACAGGCTTGCCTCCCAGTCTGCTGCCCTCCTGTCTAAAATTCTGTGTCTCCCTAATGACTGGGTATGTTGAGAGCATCTCTGAGCAGGGACATCAGTGAAGAAGTCCAAAGGTCACCCTCTCTGTCTGCATTCAGAGATGGGGAAACATCGCTGGTCTTTGAGAAACAAGCCTGCCCAGCGGTCCTCTCAGAAATGGTTGCAGTTTGGCTGTAGCCTGGATGTAGCTTGGGTGCTCGAGGTTAAACCCAATTGCTTAGAACCCTCTTAGGAGGTTCCTGCCATGCCCCCTTCCATGATCCCACAGGTTATGGGAAAACAAATTTCTTTTAACTTTTTAGACCTTGCTCAGGGGACATCTCCTCCAGGAAGCCTTCCTGAGTGCGGCTTGCTGCTGAGCCCCCATGCCGGTCCAGTCTCCCTCCCCTTATCCATACTCACTACTCCCCAGGGTCTGTTCTCATTGCATTTCCCAAAGGGCTGATCTAGCGCTGATAGGATGTATACCTGGGATGATGCTGGCTCAGTGTAGGCGTCCCCAGGGTGGCAACCCCTCTGGGCTGGAAGGGCTGGACTAGGTCCCCTGTCCCTCAGGCATTCCCTTTCTCCTTGTACTTCCTGCTCTCTGTGGAGAGATTGGCAGAGCTGGCTAGTGGGCTGCCTGCAGGGCAGGAGGCCCTCCGGGGGGAAAGGAAATGATGGGCTGAGCTCCTAGCTGGCCTCAAGTCAGAAAGGCAGGCCCTGCCTGGATGGCCTGGTGGGCAGCCCTAGCCGGCTTCCCAGCACAGCCTGGGCGAGGGGCAGCGGGTCAGAAGAGGTGAAGATTGAGCCCTGCAGGCTGCAGTTGGGGAGTCCTTCCCCAACAAGCCACTCTCGTGGGGTGTCTTCAGGGGCCAGGGTTCTCCAGAGAGTCTGCGACCCCAAGCCTCATAGAGCAGGGGAGTCAGTTGTCAGGTCCTACTGGCCACTAGCCATGGCCATTCTGGGACATGTAGGCTGCCAAAGCCACCACCACAGCCACATAGAGACCGGCCCCCACAGCGATGGAGAGTGTGGCCAGGAAGAGGGCCCGGCGGGAGGTGGTGCTGGCCAGACGGAAGTCCCCCTTGGAGATGGCCTTGCTGGTCTAGGGAAAGAGATGTGCTGATGAAAAGAAGCATCCCTCGCCCAGCAAAACAGCTCTGCCCACCAGACTCCTGGCTCCATCTTGCCTGCCCTCATGCCAGGCCATCCAGTGGATGGAGGTGGTCAGAATGGGAGCCCTGGGCCCCGGATGCTCTTACCCCCTGGGAGAAGTAGAAGGCGGCAATGCCTAGTGGCCAGAAGCAGCAGAGCATGGAGAAGATAGTAAGACCCAGGTGGTCCCTGGGAGGCAGCGTGAGGAAGTGGTCTTCACTTTCACTCTCTGTTGACGTCACATCACTCTGCAAAACATGAGTGGGGTTTGGATACCAGGCCCTGGAGTACCCAGTGGCAACAGTGAGGGCAGAGACAGTTTCATTTGCTGTTGGTGGGGATGTGGGCCGGGTTTGGTCACTCTACCAAAAGCTTTAACAATGAATCAACAATTCCATCTTTAAGAGTTTATCACAACGAACGAATACAGTATGTATTTTCTGAGAAGTTCGTCTTAGGTTAATAATTGTAAAATAGTAGAAACAATCTTGGTGCCAATGTTCCAGAGATGGAATTAATAAATGATGGAAGAACTTAGAATGGAACACTCTATAGCCCTTAAAATCACCTTGTAGAAAAATATTAAATTATGTGGATGTTAGAAAGAAAACTCAGGTTATAAAACTGGACAGCAAGATCTATTTTGGAAAGTAAGAGGGAAAAAAGCATGAATAACAAAGACTATAATACATCCATTAAAATAATAGTTATCTTCATGTAGTTTTCCTGTTTTGAGTTTAAATTACTGACATAATTACGAAAACATAACAATATGAACTTTTCTCAAAGACTCAATGTTCGTCAATGGATGAAGGGGGATAGACGAAGTGGAATTGTGATCAGCGAAATATTATCCATCCACACAAATTAGGGACTCTTGCTATTTAGTGGAATCTAAAAAACTGAGCTCATAGAGAGTACATTGGTAGTTGACAAGCCCTGGGAGAAATGAAATGTTGGTTAAAGAGCATGAAGCCCCAGTGACAAGAGTACGTTCTGGGACCTCCCACCCAGCAGACAGCACAAGGACTGTAGTTAATAACCCTGATAGTCGCTAGGAGAGTGGATCTTAAATGTTGTCATCACAACAACAGTAATAACAACTGGTAATTACATGAGGTGAGTGACGTGTTAACTAACCATATCTGGGTAATCATTTTGCAACAGGCACATAATTACATCATCACAAGGTACACTTGAAACTTATACAATGTTACACATCAGGTATATCTAAAGCTGGGAAGAGAGAAGAAAAGCAAAAACAAGAAAAGCTATTCAATAATCGGCCAGGCCTGGGCACGCTCTGTTCAGCAGTTCTCTCTGGTAACGTACAGATTCCCTGGCTTCACCTCAGGCCCATGAACCTGCGTCTGAAGCACATGCACTCACCTCCTCCTCCTCCTGGTCATCCTCCGGGCCTTGCAGCTCTTCTTGGACCCCGTAGGACACCGTCTGGATGGTGACATCTTCTGCTGGCCCAGGCTCTGCAGACCGTTCCACGGGCCCAGTCTGGGGCTGCCTGCTCTCTGTGAAGCTGGTCTCACAGCTGCCTGCCCTGGGCTCTTTGACCTTGTCCCTCCCCAGGAGGCAGCTGGGTCTGTACCAGGTCTCCACCGCTAGCTGCAGGGACCCTGGGTCCAGGAGCTGGTGGGCGTGAGTGGGGCTGGCGCCCCCCAGGAGGTAGGAGTAGAGCTGTTCCTGGCAGGACCAGCCAGGCGAAGTCTCAGGATAGGGGTAGGGGCCGCGGAGGTGTGTGGGGCTCCGAGGCAGCAGTGGGTTCTGCAGTTCACTCAGACTTTCCATGCTTCTGGGGGCAACTCTGGGGAGAGGAGCCTGGGCCAGCCGAGCAGTCCTCAGAGAGCCTGCAGGGAGAACAAGGCAGGTTGACACCGAGGCCAGTGGGCCAGGGGCTGGGCTGGGAATGGAGACGCACGCAGGCCCTGCAGTTGCGCTTGACTCACACCCGCCTTGGCTCTGGCCAGCTCGGGACCTTGCACCATTGCTGTCCCCAGAGGCTCCGCTGGCTTGTGGAGTAGCAGCACTATTCACCGCACAGAGCAGGTTTAATTTCTCTGGCTTAATTGACCTGATCAGCACCTGTTTCTTGAGTGTCAGCTTTGTGCCACTACACAGAGGCTGGGACACAAGGGTGAAGAGGCAGGAAGCAGGGAGAGGGAGAGAAAGAGGGGATGTACCTGACTGTCCCCTCACGTTTCTTCCATGCCCTGGGATGCCACGACACGGCCCCAAGCTTCCCCAACTGTTCTCTTCTTATTAGTCTACGTTTATATCCCTCCTTCTACTTCTAGCCAGGACAGTCCCTCAGCCTAAGCACCACTGATAGCCTCAAGGGTCCTTGTGGGCAGAGGTATGGGGTGGGGTAGGGTGGGAAGCCAGCCAGGGCACTCAGAGCAGATGGATGCATCAAACTCAACCCTGCCCCATGCCCTGCTTCCCCAGGAGGCCTTGGTGAGTCGCCTGTCCAGTCCTTGAGAAGGAAAGAAAGGATTCTTGTGGCCATAAATCAGCCCTGGGGCCCTCCCTGGTGGTGCAGCGGGTTAAAGCACAGCACAAAGAAGCTTAAGTCACTTCTAATGAGTTCGATCCCTGCCTGCCCC